GTTAGGAGGAATGGGTTCTGTTTCCAGATTCAGTTAATTTTTTGCATGTGACCTTTTAGATCTGCTCCTTTAATTCTGACATTATAAAGCTACAGTATTATTCAGTGCACTCCCTTTTTCATTATGTCCATTTGCAGAATGAGTTGATTATAGAAAGAAATGATTTCACAGAGCATGGGGGTCTCACACAGTCACGGAAACAAGCAGAAAATCCCGTGTGTTTACAAAATATGCATAAATATAAATACAGTGTGTAAAATAGCATCCCTGCATAATGATACTATTGTTCTGTCAATGATGAGTCCTTTCTTAAAAAATAAATACCTTTTATATTCATTAGTTATTTAAAAGATAGGGTTTCTATCAGGATAGGTTTCTTTACTCCCCATGGGAAATCATTACTTATATCCTCTAGTTCTTTTAATTTATTTTTTTTTCTGATACTCTATTCATCTGTATAGCATGGAAGAGCCGGGTTACCAGCTTCCTGATTAGACATGGAAACCACTAGAATTTTCTTTTATTATAATGATTTAGGTGTTAAAGCAATTACTTCATCCATGCTCCTTCAGGCTAATGCTCCCATCTTCTAAATCTGAGAAAAACATATACTGAAGAAGACTTAAGCCCCCTGCATTTTGTTGCTGAATGCCCATATGCCTAAATGTGCAATATGAGTACAGGTACAGTTTGTCTGCTGTCTTTTCTTCTAAACAGTATGAAGCTAAGGGAAAATGTCATATAAATTGATCAAGATTCAATCTCTTTTCCAGTACTTCACTAAATCTTTCATTTCCTGAACTTTTTTTTCTTTTCTTTTTGATAATGACCATTTACAGTTGTAAAACATTTTCAAAGGTAGAACTGTTTACTGCTTGGATAAAAGCAGTCTTTTGAGATTGATACACATGATGATATCAATTTACTTAGTTTTAATCTCTATTGAGAAGTGTTTTCCTTCCTTTTTATGATTAACTGTCTTTGTGATTAAAGGAATTGTTTTATTGTTACATCAAAATGTGGAATTTATTAGACAAGTTCAAACAAAAGCACTGAAACACAAAAATTTCAAAGCCTGTTACTTTATTTTACCTCTTTTGGTATCAGAAAATTCTGATAAATTAACCAAGGTTTAGCCGTCTACTGAAACAAATGGGAAAGTTATCATAAATATTTGCTAGATATTTTTCTTTACTAAGATCTAACAATATTTAGATGCAGATGTTGAAATCCTACTCTCAAATGCTGCAAATTGCCCATGCCAACATGCCTAAACTGATGAGCAGTGTCATAACAACCATGTGTTTAACCCTCTTCATGATTCAAAGCCTTTTCATGACTGAAATGTCTCACTGATGTCTGTAGTTATATTGCATGAATCATGATCTGATTGTTGAGGACATTGACAAGAGGTTTTGAAGTAACGGGGCCTGTTGCAGATTGAATAGCCAGGCTCTGCAGGTTTTCAAGCCCTCGTGCCCCGTGACACCCATGTTCCTGCTGTTATACAAACTACAGAGAGATATATGCTCTCATCTGCCCTAACTATGGGACTCCTAGCACTATGCTGTCATTACTTAAACCCTTTGAACTAGTAGAAGGCAGCAGAATGTCACTGATTGAATACTGACATCTGTGAAAAAGGAGAAATTTGCCATTTGATATAAGGGACATATGTTAGGTTTTGTACATGGCAGCATCCCCATGTTTGATTTTCTGGGATGTATCCCACCATCACTTAAAATTTTGATACTATCTCTTTCTCCATATGGCTTTGAACATGTTGAGAAAAACAGAGCATGTTGCTGTGAAAGTCTTTTAATAACTTACTCGTTGGCTTCAGGAAGATGTAGTCAGATATTAAATAAATAATCAGAAAAAATGGAATCGGTTGCTGATTGTCTTTAATTGGAACTTTTGGAAGAGCAAAAGATGCAGTAAGGCAGATGTTAACTAAGAATTACTCTTCTTTTTGAAAGCAAAACATTTCATGGTGTTGAATCCCTTAGTGGCATGCTTTATGCTGTATCCAGTTGAAAGAGTATTTACAGAGATAGTTAACAGCACGGTTCCTGGCATCAATAATGAAAGCTTTATCATTTTCTAGTCACATATGTTAAGCAAGAATGTATATTCATTAGAGTGATTGCTTTCTAATAGCCTTAAGAACACTTCTACCAGTCATACACTAAATATGTTTTTACTTTAGTGTCACAGATGAACACACATTATTTTAATTGGGCTAATTGTGCATTTTTGTCCATTCACAGTATTGCTTTACTGTGGCAGATGGCCCAGTGATGTGTTATAAACACTTTGCATGACATCCCCTCTATTTTACTGATCTTCACTGTGACTTTCCCATTGGTAATGACTAATGACAGTTTCCTAGCCAGCAACTTTTAATAGATTCCATTTTTTTCTTTAATCTCGGCCTGTCCTCAACAGCACTGTTTTGTTCAATAATTTAATCAGTTCAGCAACAGTATTAGACAATTGAACCATTACTTTTTGAATTTTTGAAATGCAAAATACCCATGAAGTAATCACTGATGAATATTTCAGTATTGATACAGACCACTCTCTCTTCTGAAGAAATGGAAACGGATTTGCTATCTGTGCTTGAATGCTTTTCCTTTCCTTTTATTTTATTTCTCTTCCTTGGTACTGAGAGCCTATGCAGTAAATAGGAAGGAATCAAATAACTAGAAAAATTAACAGAAAGGATTAACAGTTTTGCCTACCCACCATGCCCATCTTAACCATTTAACACCAACATATCAAAGAATTGAGTTTATACAGAAAAAATTCCATTCATCCCTGCCTCCTCTTATCAGTGAAGATTTATTTGCAAAAGGGACACCCTGAGGCAAAACCGCTTCCAGGTTCATCCCATTTGTATTAGCAGACTAGGATGTAGATGTTGCAAAATCAAGAGGGGCTCCTTATAGGCTGGTGTGAATTTTTGAGAAACTCATGGACTCTGACATTTCTGGCCAGAACCACTCCTTTCTCTGTGAAGAGGATCAGATAGTCAGCTTTCTATCTTTATGTTGCTAGCAGCTGTTATGTTTTGCTAAGGGCAATGCTCCTCACGCTCGCTCTCTTTTATCCAAGACATTTCATGAAATGAAGCAGCAGTTAAGCAGAGCGAGCGGGTGGCTGTAGGACAATTCTGTGATTTCACAGCAGTTTGTGAGATTTCACAGTTTAATTTCACAGTTTAATTGTGTTTCTTCTCTGAACAAAAAATTACTTCAAACGAGAATGCCTAACAAGCCCTAACCAGTCTGTATTTTGAAGCTTTCATTGCAGAGATAAGGAGGAAGGACAAACTGGCTGAAGCCTATTATCACAGACATTATGCTGAGTTTCGACCCAGAGTTTAAAATTAGTAACTTTACAGCTTTTAATCAGAAGTGGTTTCATAGAATCATAGAATCAGCCGGGTTTGAAGGGACCTCCAAGATCATCAAGTCCAACCCTTGATCGACTACCACCATGGTTACTAGGCCATGGCACTAAGTGCCACATCCAGTTTCATCTTAAAAACCTCCAGGGACAGAGAATCCACCACTTCCCCGGGCAGCCCATTCCAATGGATGATTACCCTTTCTGTAAAGAATTTCTTCCTAATATCTAACTTAAACCTCCCCTGGCAGAGCGTAAGACCATGCTCTCTTGTC